TGTGGTCTCCCCGTAACATGTGATGAAACTTTCCGGCAGAAGCCTTGATCTCCACGTCTGTCTCAAGCTTCCCGATCAAACTAGATGCATCTGTTGTCGCGGCCTCAGCCATTATTTCTCCTTCTAATCTGGTTATCCTGAGAAGATATAAATAGGTTTTGAAAAGAGAGTGAGTTCCCTAGTGAGCTCTTTAGTCTCTATTTGTAGAGGAATGGTTGAGAAGTTGTTAAAGAAGAGGACGTATTATTCACTAAAATAATTTCATGATTAGTTGTGTTTCATGTGATCAAGATACCATCACCATGATTCACCTCACCTGCAGATTTGTTTGCATTGTACCTAAAGTGATCGATTCATCACTCACACGATTCACGACGGTACTTGCGTATCCACGGCATTTAACATAATAAAAACAAACAAAAAAATATTTTAAACAAAGTGGTGGTGCAGTAGTAAATTTTTTTTCATAACATGAATAAATTCGTTCATGTTTTTGGTTTTATTACCACAGGAAACTTTTTCGCTCCCATTTGATCGTATATCAAAGATGGTGTTACGTTCTATACATAATTAAGGAGTCTTTTAAAAAAAATGTAATTAAGGGGTGTTAGTGGGAGTAAATTTATAATAATTGCTAGAATTTGTAAAGTGTGTTAGTGGTTTATATATTTTCACGTTCTCACTACAATCTATTGTTATTAGTTTGATGATTTTATAGTTTGATTTATTAAACAAGAACCTAGATGGTTTGTATAGCTTCAGTGTATATCCTTTAGGAGTTCACATTCTGAATTGTTCCTATGGACTATATGCTAGATTTGCCTTTTTAGTTTTTTGGGTAATCTAGAATGATCTGCTTTGTAAGATTTTTAGGTCCATTGTGCATTGCTTCAATGTACTCAGTGCCATGCTTAGATATATAGAGGCTTATAAAATATATATTTTTTTCAATATATATTGAAGAAATAAATATGAAATAGTTTGTATACATAAAAAGAACGAAGAGGAAGATTTACTAGAATAAAAAATGGAAAAATTACCATAGAATAATATATTAGTGACAAGGAAGAAGTACATAGAAAATATCTAAAATTATCTAAGCGGACTATACGGCCCGTATTAGTCATGGGCATATTATCCGAAATCCGAAAACCGAACCGGAACCGAACCGAAAAAACCGAGACCGAAACCGGTCCGAAAATTACAAAAACCCGAACGGTTCCTATATTTCTAAATTCGAAAAACCGAAACCGAACCGAGACCGAACTGAGAACCGAACGGGTACCCGAATATTGTAAATTTATTAAAAATATTAATTATTTTTAATTTTAATATATATAAAATATCATTTATAAATAAAAAAAATCCGAACTACCCGAAAAACCCGAATATTTTTCGGTTATTTCCGGGTTTAACTCGGGTTTTCGGGATTTTTTTCGGTTTATTGGGCTTCAAACCCGAACCAAACCCAGATTATTTGTAATACGGTTCCACTTCGGGTTTTATAGAAAGATATAAACCCGACCCGAACCCGACATTATCCGAACCGAACCGATCCGAAAAATGTCCGGTTCCTAAACGGTTCCTAAACATCCCAACCCGAATAATCCGAAAATCGAATAAACCGAACCAATCCGAACCGAAAACCCGAATGCCCATGACTAGCCCGTATATTCACCCGTTTTTAATCAAATTGCATATTATGCCGCGTAGGATGATTTCGGTACGTTTACCACCCGCGTAGCGTATACATACCACACATGGCCCCGCACAGAGCGCATTTTAGAACATACATCCACAAAACTGGATCTTTTTTTCTTTTGTTGATATTCCAGACTTTCTTTTAAGTTGATCATTTTCGATTTTCAATATATTTAGCCATAATCCTAAAACAAGTTTAACATTAACATTACATAAACACTCACTAATCAACATATAACACCAAATACTGAAAATTGGACTGGACTGACCTGAACCAACAACATGACCAAGAAAATGAGACAACCAAGATGAAGGAGGCAAGGAGCCCAACAATGTGACCAAGAAAATATTCAAGACATGATAACTTTCTGCTTCTGAAAATGAAATGTCCAGCTACGACTTCACAACTTTAGTTCAAAAAAAAGAAAAACCTCACAACTCCCCTTGCTTGTGTGACAAGTTATGCAAACTTTTTGCTAAAAGTTTCATCATTGTTCTGAGGAATCGTTGAAAAGTAATGTAAAACTGTGACATAACTAATAAAAACATGTTGTTCCATAAGACTCGCTATTTTCTATGTGCTTCAGCTTCTTGATCAGCCAAAATTATAGAAAGGGAGTTAGGATCTTGTAGAGACATTGAACCAGCCATGGATCATACTAAGTGAAACATTTGAAATAAATTCTCCAAATTTTTGAAAATTACATAAACAAAAACATTCAAAGAATTTTTTAGACCATCAAATTTGTAATAAAAATAAAATTAATTGAAATCTTAAAAAGAAATCGTCTAAGATCCCTTAAATTTCAGGGTCGGCTTTGCTTTGATAGAGAAATACCTCTTCGTGGGTTTCTTGAATATAAATTTTTCGACTTGCGGCCGTCACTTGTCACACTCATGCATACATGAGTTCCACCACCTCCTCGCTCTACTGCTTCTCCAGTAAAAGATGAATGGCACTCTAGATCGTATATACTAAAAGGGTATATTGGATCAAGAATTTGAGAGGATTTTTTTTTTCTCAAATCTCCTCTTATTGTATCTAGGATTTCTAATTTTTTTATGAAAACAAAATTTATTGAATTAGTCATTTGTATAAGTTCTGCCAAATTCTAACTTATTGGAAAATACGCAGTTTGTCAATAAAATCCATCAAATCGGATTTAGGGGTTTGGATGATATTTTATAATGCAAAATAACGAACTGAAATACCACCTCCTATAATGGTATTTGGAACTTTTTTTTAGAAGATAGACAAAAATACTTCACTTTAAAAAAAATCAAACTGTTTGAAATGAAATAAAAATAAAAATTATTTAACAAATTATTTTAAAAAACTTTTATATATTTCATAAAAAGGATAATAATATCCAATTATAGTAATTTTATAAGTAAAATATTATTTAAAATAAATAATTAAATTTAAAAGTTTTTTCAAAAAAATTAAAATTTCTTCAAAGACCCATAAATTTTGTAACAAATCTTTTTACAATTTAGTCAAATCTCGGATTTGCTTGGATTTACTCAAATCTTGAATTTTCTCAAATTCTTGATTCAATAAATCCCTCTAAGAAAAGAGAAAAAGAAAACGTGAAGCACACAAAAAGTGAAACATATATGTTTTATTTTATATTGAATAAATGTTTCTAACCGGCCAGTTAGTATTAGTAACTAAAATTGATTTTATTTTGATTTTTGAAAACTCTATTTTTTTTTTACATTGAAAATTCTATTTTTTTCTATATTGCTGAAATTGAATTTGTTCTCCGAGAGTTCAGAGAAATAGGTTCATAGAACCCATTACAACAATAACTTCAAAAGCAAAGAGCACATTAACTGAAGAATAAAAAAAGATGCCAGTAGGCACCAAAGAGGGTAAGAAGCTTTCCATAACCAGCAATAGCGTACCGGGGAAGAGGTTAACTATGTCTCTATTTGCTTTGAACTTCGAAGGACAGAAGATGGTGGAGCCATAGCGGAGCTTTGTGAGCTATATATGATTGGTGTCTGCGGTCTCGAGTCACGCTTACTGCTATTGCCAAGACAGCTTCATTCCTTTCCGTGAAAGTATGATCTAACCTCCAGACGCCAATCCAAAGAGGTGGCTTTGGATAGCAAGAATAATCATATAATAAAATTTTAATTTTTTTTTTATAAATGTTGTAATTGGAAATTTTCCAAACGAATATAAATTAGAGAAAATGATTAGAATAGACCTAAAAAATTTTTTTATCATAAATATAGACCTTAACAATTAAAATGACCAAAATATCACTTAAATGTTTTATTAAATATACATTTATACCCTTGGGTTAACTAATTCTAGATTTTTTTGTTTAAAGTTAAGGAGTGAGGTTTTGGGGATAGGGTTTTGAATTTAAAAAAATTAAAAAAAACTTAAAATTTTTAAAATAAAAAGTGTTATTTTGGTCATTTTAATTTTTGAAGTTTATTTTTGTGATAAAAACTTAAAAGAAAGCTACTTGAGAGAATTGCCCTATAAATTATTAAAACTGTTAAAAATCTCACATACATTTTTGTAATTGAAGTCTAATTTTTTTCTATAATAAGTTACAATGATTATAAAATCATATGAATACACATATAATCTATAAACTATACTTTATATAAGGCGTTGTAGAATTCTTCTAAACGGAATTTAGAAGGCATAGAGAACTGTCATATATGATGAAGTTTTTTTCAATTAATTATAATTTTTTAAATAATTCTCAATTAATATATAGAGGATATGCAATTAAGTTAAGAGAAGTGGTTAAAAAACTAGACTATAACAACTTCTGATTAAACCGGTTTAATTAATAAAAATTCTGGTTAATATTTTCATATTTATCATTTCGTGGTGAACAATAAGTTTAGTAAGGAACCAAGGATTGTAAATAATTAAAAACTGCAACCGAACCAAACAAAATGTTTACAAAATCAATTGGTTTTTGTTGTTATTAAAAACAACTTTTGGAAACGAATGTGAGACCAATTTTTAATGTAACTGGACCAAATAAACATAAATTTATGAAGAATGCATCAAACTAAACCGAATTACAAATGATTTAACTGGTTTAACCTTCCATAAACCCAAAAACCAACAAAAAATATCAGAACAGAAACCAACTAGAAACCGGAATTCCACAGTAAAACGTAAAAAAAAAAAAAGGAGTAATGTGAAAATAATGAAAGTTTGTAGGGTTTCTTACATAACCTAAAAGCCTGTCTGAAGATGAACCCCACCTATAAAAAACGTATCCTCATGTGTTCAGTGTAAGTAAAACGAAGAAGAAAAGAACCAAATAAAAAATCCGCCCCCATGGAAGCAGCTCTGATGAGAATCTTCAAGCTATCGTTCCTTCTCAGCCTTTTCTCCGGAGACTCTGACGTCTTCGGTTCTCGTACCCTATCCGATCTCGTTTCTGGACCAGTTGGGAAGTTTCCACCGTCTTGTAACAGGATCGAGTGTCCAAGCTACGACTTGGTCAACTCCACTAACAGCTACGAGATTCGCCGTTACAATACTTCCATGTGGATTTCAACAGAACCTATGAAAGAGACCTCTCTCGTCAAAGCTACACGTACCGGTTTTAGCCAGTATGTTCATTTCTTCCAAAATTAGGGTTTTCTAAAAAAAATTCATAAGGATTTTTTTTTTTTAAATGACTAGAAGGTTTTGTTTATATCATTTAGAACAAAACTAAACCCATTTTAAATTATTTTCTTAAGAAAATAGGTCTCTCCAGAACCGAACCTATATAACCCTTTAGACCTTTTTTCTCTTATGGATCTCTTTTGATTGTGGTTTGTGCGCAGATTGTTCGATTACATTCAAGGGAATAATGACTATCACCAGAAGATAGAGATGACAGCTCCAGTTATCGTTCAAGTCTCTCCAAGCAACGGTCCTTTATGTGAATCCAACTTCACTCTATCATTCTACGTTCCTAAACAAAACCAACCTAATCCAGCTCCGGCAAAGAACCTACACGTACAGAGATGGGACGAGAGGTACGTTGCCGTGAAGCAATTCGGCGGATACGTGTCAGATAACAGCGTCGGAGAAGAAGCAGCAGAGCTGCAGGCGAGCCTTAATGGTACCGTATGGGGCAAGGCAATTGCTAAAAGCAGAGAAACAGGTGGTGTTGGATCGACTTCGGCTTACATGGTGGCGCAATACAACTCACCGTTCGAGTTCTTTGGTCGGGTCAATGAGATTTGGTTGCCGTTTCAGATGGACAAATGAAAAAAAGCTTTAAATATCATATCTCAGTGAACAAGAATTATTTTTCGTAATTTACGTTTTGAATAATATAAATATTTTCATGAATTATTTTCGTAATTTACGAACAGTCTTTGTGGATCGTCTGCTCCAGGAAGTACCGACTCTCGGTTTGGTAGCTGAGAAATTCTACAAGCAACCGTGTTTAATTTGTGGTGGAGTTTGTTGAAGATAACAACTTCAAAACTTTCAGATATTTCGTGTCAAAATTATATGTTCTTCTGGCTCATTAATTCTAAGAGATTTGATTAAGATAACTATATAAATTATCAAATCCAAAATTTATATGATGTTAACATGAGAATGAGAGAAAGATGTATTGGTGTTTAACAAGAGACAAAACCCTAAATTTTTCATAATTCTTACGTTTGTTTGAAAGGAAAAAGAAAAAGGTCAGACAGGCAAGTGGCTAGGGCTGAGCGTTCATATTCGAGTGGGATTTTGATTCGGCAAGCTTCGGGTTCAGGTGTATAAATATAATCAAGTATCAAATTATATATTTATATATTCAAATATAAAATTTTAACGTATCGTCAGATTTTTTATTCGAACTTATATTTGTACCTACTAACGTAGTATCTAATAAACTGAATTCTAATAATCAAAATCATCAACAAAATCGGGATATGTTATAAACCGAAATTATAATTTTCTGTCTCTTTTCAAAAAAAATCATCAACGAATTTGCGTAGCTATTCCTAGCAAGTTCTCCATATAACTACGAATTTGCTACGAATGTACCGTAGTATTTTGGTTTTTTTTACTAGTGATATGTTTGAATTCACTTCAGATATTAAATATCTAATTTCCTATAATTTAATATCTATTGAGTATTCCTTAGACATTATCTATAAATTAATTTGACACATAATCTATACAAACTATTGGAATTCTTTTTTTTTTGTTAATACACTATCATCTTCCCAAGAGGACTATATCAATTATTCTCCTTACAAATAGTTTAATTGGTAAAGTTCAAGACAAACAAAAATTAGTTGGCTGTGTTTAATAAAAAAATAGTTGGTTTTACTACATTGAGCATTTAAAACGAACAAATCTATGAAAAAACTCTGTAACGATTATTGTTATAACACTAAGGAAATAATTACTTCGCCATTTGCAAAAATAAAAACCATACTTGCAACTGATGTAGTCTAATTAAGGAGTTGAACACAGTAGTAAGCATCAACTAAGCTCGATTTGAATTGTATATAAATTGCATTCATTTGATTGTCCAACATTTAGGTCGTCAAAGTCCATCATTTAGTCAATATTCCAAACATATCATCAAATATTAATTTATGATCGCTAAATCACCACCAAGACCGTTCTTCTTTTCCTAATGTTTGTGGTTGATCGTGTGTGCTTATTTCTGACCTATAACAGTTGATAAGTGCATATCTCAAAGATAGTTGGAAGTGTAAGTCTTATATTAGTTTAAATTTCGTTATCGTTCCTGCAACTCCGTATATCAAGGACGAACACTATGTTAAAGTTTGACTTGTAATTTAACCTGATTGTAGATACACACGTGTGATACACTTCCTTTAGAATTTTGAGAGAAGGCGTAGAAGTAATTTTCACCATATCTGGAAAAGTTCTTGGCTTACTGAGTTACTGGTGCAGCTCTACTGGCAGCCGAAAAATTGCTTCCAGTAATATAAAATGTGTAGGTAGTAGGTACTATGCTATTTTCGTAATTATATAACATTTGATACTACCGTCATACCGTGTTTCCGTTAGATATTCTTGTACTGGCTAGAGCTAGAGAGATTGAATAAATTTCTTGTTAGTGAAGATGGTTACGCTGACCTATGAAGTGCTTCCAAAAGTTCCCTAATCTTATGCCCATATTTAGGATTTATATATTTGGTTAACTGAAGTCATTTATTCTTTATTAATATATGCATTATTTGATTCGTGATGAGAAAAAAAACTTGAATAATTAATTAACGCAAGGACGACAGATTTTTTGTATATCTTAATTTGCAGTTAATCATTCGTTTTTGAACTTATTCGTGGAAGTTGTTCCAAGTAACGAGCTCATGCAACCAGAGAGATATATACACACTAAGTCACAAGAAGGTCACGACATTCTCTGTCTCAACCATTTATTCAGAGGGAACTTTAGTTGTGTACTTAAACAGGTAGTTACCTATACATGAAAAAGATCACTATAACAAAATAGTTAAATATAAGACATTCTTCATATTATAATAAAAAGTGATTTAAATTACATATTGACTCAATATAACGCGGTAATCTTTATAGTATAAATACAGATTTGAGTTTATTTGAACAAATAATTGAGAAGCGACGTATATCATGAAGCCTAGCAAAAGATACTAGCTTAATGATGAGACTATAGACTAAAGTATATGTTCCTCTAAGGAGTAATTGATTGTTGCCTACTTCACGGGACAAATGAGTAAACCTAACAATATCTTATAGACACACTCGATGCCATTAGCCAAATTCCATTTGAGCCATCCAACTCCGTGGTGGATCTTCTTTGTCTCCAGCCCATCTTGTCTCCACAAATTTTGAGAGATTACTTTGTTAGCTTTTTCATTTTTAAATGAAAATTTTAGAATCTTATTTTCGATATTGAATTATTATTTTAATTATTGTCTAGAGTACTTATATATATTCTGAAATTCGGCATATAATCATTATACGCAAACGGATTAGTTAGAGAATGTGAAAGAAAGGTGATGTGAAACTTAACCAAAGCAAAGAGGAGAGGGGACATAAGAAAAAAAAAAAAGGTATGTCTGCGATGCCACATGTAAACCTTCTTTTAAAGATCTAACTTTAGATGCTATTTTTGCACATGTAAAACTGTTGCAGACTAAAACTTCTATTTCACATAAGTGTCATCCAGATACATTTTGATTGACAAGTTTAAATTTGTGCATAAATGATAAGAATCATTAAACTAAAACAGATTCATATATTTATAATGTAGCCACTTGGTCATTTAATCAAATAAATGAAAGACTAAATTACTTAGCAAATTGACCCAATACACTGTATAGGTTATTCTACGAGGAGAACAATTATGTTTACAAGGATAATTAGTTTTTCAAAAGAATAAGGAAGAAATAATAAAATAAAATAAAAATGAGCAAAAAGAAACTTTGGGTTGCCAAGTATTTGCTGTATAAAAAGAGGTGTAAAGCGGCTATCACTCCTTAAATTATATCCTCAAAACCAAAGTTGCTCACTCCTTCACACATGCTCCAAAGTCCCCACTTCTTCTTCTTCAATCTCTTTTCATACCTCCACACCATTGCTTAACGTTTCTCTCTCCAATCCACCGGAAAGAAGATGATATCGTGGCACGACCTCTACACGGTCCTCACGGCCGTAATACCTCTTTACGTCGCTATGATCCTCGCCTACGGCTCTGTACGGTGGTGGAAAATATTCTCTCCTGATCAATGCTCAGGAATCAACCGTTTCGTGGCCATCTTCGCCGTCCCTCTCCTCTCTTTCCATTTCATCTCCACAAACAATCCATACGCCATGAACCTCCGTTTCATAGCAGCCGACACTCTCCAAAAAATCCTCATGCTCGCACTTTTAGTCCTCTGGGCTAACTTCACCCGCTCCGGTAGCCTCGAGTGGAGCATCACAATCTTCTCCCTCTCCACTCTTCCCAACACACTCGTCATGGGAATCCCTCTCTTGATCGCCATGTACGGTGAATACGCCGGTTCACTCATGGTCCAAGTCGTAGTCCTCCAGTGTATCATCTGGTACACGCTTCTCCTCTTCCTCTTCGAGTTTCGCGGCGCCAAGATGCTCATCATGGAGCAGTTCCCCGAGACGGCTGCTTCCATAGTTTCCTTCAAGGTTGAATCTGACGTCGTTTCACTGGACGGCCATGACTTTCTTGAAACGGACGCAGCGATAGGTAACGACGGGAAGCTTCACGTCACCGTGAGGAAGTCAAATGCTTCCCGTCGTTCCTTCTGCGGGCCTAACATGACTCCACGTCCGTCTAATCTCACCGGAGCTGAGATTTATAGCCTAAGCACCACTCCTAGAGGCTCAAACTTCAACCAATCAGACTTTTACTCGATGATGGGTTTCCCCGGTGGCCGTCTCTCCAATTTCGGTCCGGCTGACATGTACTCCATGCAGTCTTCAAGAGGTCCCACTCCGAGACCTTCGAATTTCGAGGAGAATTGCGCCATGGCTTCCTCCCCGAGATTCGGGTATCACCCAGGAGTGGGAGGCGGGTCTTACCCGGCTCCCAATCCTGAGTTCTCTTCAACAACGGCTACATCTACAGCCAACAAAGCTGTTGGTAAAACTCCTAAAGACACCAACTCAAATCTTCAAACAAGCGACAAGTCAAACAATCATGACGCGAGCTCCAAGGAACTACACATGTTCGTGTGGAACTCCAACGGGTCACCAGTTTCGGACCGGGCAGGTCTTAACGCCCCTGATACGGGATCAAACAATGAACAAGGCGGAAGATCCGACCAAGGTGCTAAAGAGATCAGGATGTTAGTCCCCGACCAATCTCAGAACAGTGAAAACAAAGGTAAGAAAAATCCATCATAACTTTCCGACATAATTCACTTTCAAATGTTCTAAAGTTCGGTAACGGTTTTTTGTGTGTGTGGTTATTATAGCTCTAGCTCGCCCCGCGAGTGGTGACTTGGGGAGAGAAGAAGAAGGAGAGAGAGCAAATGACGCTGAGAACGGACTGAACAAACCTGCTCCTAATGCGGTGCTACAAGCGAAGACAGGGCTCGGAGCCGTGGCTGGAGGTGAAGCAAGTCAAGCGAAACATATGCCTCCGGCTAGTGTGATGACGAGGCTGATACTGATCATGGTGTGGAGGAAGTTAATCAGAAACCCAAACACTTACTCTAGCCTCATTGGTCTCATCTGGGCTCTCGTTGCTTTCCGGTTAGTAACTAAATCATAGATTCTTGAACTTGAACCAACCGGTTATCGGGAAATTTACTCTCGTTTTGAATATGAAGGTGGCACGTGGCAATGCCCAAAATAATACAGCAATCTATCTCCATTCTATCTGATGCTGGTCTTGGAATGGCAATGTTCAGTTTGGGTTAGTCTTCTTCATACTCTCTGTTTTATTCTTTTTTTTTAGTTTTTTTTAAAGATATTTTAAAAGATTAAATCAGATTAAATCCTACGACACTCCTTAGTTTTGCATATTTTCGTTAGCATATTAACCCGTTTACACGTTTCGTAAAATAACTAAATTTTATAGTCCATATATAAATTTATATGAGTGGAAATAAAAAATTAGATTCAAAAATTGGGGATGGATCATCCGACAGGTGGGGCAATGGTGTGAGTGTCGTATTAGATAAATGGTAATGGTGGACGACATGGTCTCGTGTTGTTGATAGTCCTCATGGTCCCCATTTATATGGGAGTTGATTGGATTTTCTTAGACATATCGTATATATTTTAATTTATGGAGTTGAAAAAGTATTTTTAATTTGTGGTTAAGCACAAATAGATACATATTTAATTTATTTATCACTGATTCGAAAGTATAAACTATATGTGAATTTTTTTTTTGTGAAGGGTTGTTCATGGCGTTGCAACCCAAATTAATCGCTTGTGGGAACTCAGTGGCAACATTTGCGATGGCGGTAAGGTTCCTCACAGGTCCGGCCGTGATGGCTGTTGCTTCTATAGCTATTGGATTGCGTGGTGATTTATTGCGTGTCGCCATTGTTCAGGTAAAATTATATCTTACGTTTTAATAACGCAATATTGAGGACGTTAAAATGCGATTTGTTACTAAATGTTTTGGGTTGTTAACAGAAAATATCTAAATGTTTTTTGGTATGATTTTTAGGCCGCATTGCCTCAAGGGATTGTACCGTTTGTGTTTGCAAAAGAGTACAATGTCCATCCTGCTATTTTAAGTACAGGGTAAGTCATAGACTATTATGGTTATTATTCATAAATTCCTAATGTTATTTTGGGGAAAATGAAATTTAACATAGTATAATCGAATGATTTTGCAGGGTAATATTCGGAATGCTTATAGCACTTCCTATCACGTTGGTTTACTACATTCTACTCGGGTTATAAGCTTTTAATTACGTGAACCCTTAAGGTGGAGCGTGTAGAGGGAGAAGAAAGAAAAGAACACAAGAGAGTGTTTCAACTTGTGGGTTAGAGTATATAAGTAAAACTATAGAGTAGCATAATTGAAGGAGGATGATGCCTACATCACAAACCAAGAAACCCTTTCTTCTCCATATAGAATATTGGGAGATAATAAGAACGAGACAGTGGGACGCATATAAGGAGGAGCAAAACATGGGGCAACGAAACAACAAAGATGAATAAAATATTGGAGGAAGAAGATTTTTGTAACTTTTTATAAGGAGCACCAAACCCCCTATCGTTTTCATGTGTTCTTTAATTAGATTGATTTCGGGCGACAATTGAATTGATTACTGTGTAGTTTTTGTTTCTTAGCGAAGAAAAGTGTGGTTTTCAATTTCCCTAGTTCAAGTTTTTACATAAGCAACATAACGCTTTTAAAAGCAGTGTTATTCGTCTTAAATTGCTGAAATTTTAATAAGTTTTGTAATAAAGTGGGTGGATTTACTGATCCTTGTCTGCTGTGATAATGAGAATGGTAGTGGAAGCAATGAGTTGTACGCTTTGGCACTGAAAGCAATTCGTGTTATCATTAGTTTAAGCTGATGAGTGATATAATTATTGTCCATGTAGTGTGTAGGGATGATGAAAATTATTAAAAATGTAAAGCCAATGAAGAAGATCACTAAAGTCAAAAGCTTATTTAAAAGTTTAATAAAAGCAGCCTTCTCTTTGCTTTATTTATTTTCTTTTCTTTTCTTTTGTTTTTTTTTTAATTTAATAAAATCGAGTGTATTTCCTTTTTAATAAAAAAAATTTCTCTAATTGTTTTAAATATATGACGTTTGCACTTTTGCCTTTCGATGACATATTGAAGCACCATCTAAAACCTAAAAGATAAATCTACCATCATAAAATGGCATATGCTATAAAATAATATCTACAGTGTTAAAACTTAAGATTGACCTTCAAGAAAAGTTTTTTCGTGTATTTAGGCTTCATTTGGTAACATGATTTACAATTGATTTAGTCTGCATTATCAGCATTAAAAAAAATTACGATAGCTTTAACTTTTTTGAATTTGTTTTGAGAATAATGTGTTAGAGTTGAATTTTACTTTTGATTTATCATCTTTGTAAAATTAATAAATCAGATACTAAATCAACATCAAAGAAAATTGCATATCATATTTTATTTTTTCTACTAGTTGTCCACGTTTGTTTTTTTTTTAAAAAAAAAATTGAAAGAAGTTTTGAACATGATAGTTGTCTAATGTTTACTTTTAAAGTTAATTTAATATTCTCAACATTTTTATATACTATTTACTTGAACATGATAGTTGTCTAAGTGTTTCTAATAAAAATGATTAACTTTCTTTGGTAGCTCTTGTCAAATAAAAAAAAATTCTTTGGTAACTTTTTTTTTATCAAACCATTCTTTGGTAACTAAAAAGATATATATATAGATGTTTGGTTAGAGTTGGATCAACGAATCTTATAGCTGTTAGGCAACTTCGAACGTGCTAATTCATCGGTCTATATACTGTTTCTTTTGGAATATGTTGGATTGCATAGTTGGAAAAAACTCTTATATCAACTAAATTTTCGAAAAACGCAGCCAAATATATTATATATATATATATATACATGTTTAGTAATTTTTTTGTAAATGTTAGTTTATTATATTTTATTTGTCTCGAGTCTATTTTGTTTATAAATTTTGTAAGAAATGATATATTTATAGATATTTACATTTTTTATTTTAAATGATATGTACTACAATTTGTACAAAAAATACCAATCAAATATTTTAATAAAATAATAATTTATATATTACAGAAAATTTACTGCAATAAATCTATATTGTTTTACCACATTAGGTTTACTGCAGACTAGGTGAGTAGGTTTTTTATGTACCATGTGCAACGATTTTTATTAATATTTTAGTTTTTATTATTTTTATAAAAATATTTTACGATAAATATTGGTTTAGTTAAACATAAAATTAAAATAAAATAAATATATATATATATTATTTAAAATTATATATATATAAATTGATAAAATTATAATTTTAGATTTTGATTTATTTGTTTTGGTTAAGATATATTATATTAATTTTTTTATAAATTTTTATAAGATTTTATAAATGTTTTATAATTACTAAAATGTGAAATTAAACATAATTTCTTAAATTTGTAAATATCAAAAGGAAAGAATGCTATTTTACCGTTAAATTTTATGTTTTTTAAAAACATGAATAACATTTTGAAAATCTTGTATTATAATAAATTATTTTTTATATAAATATATTTAAAAAATAATTTTAAATAATAATTTATATATCTATTACTATATTATTTAATCATATTTGAATATATTTACTTTAGTGATGTATGATTTATTACATATTCTAAATAACTCCAAAAGTAGAAATCAATATTAAATATAATTATCCACAGAGCCGTGCGAGCTTTTATAGCTGCCCAAAGCAAACAATACAAAAATAAAATCATTTAAATGAAATCCATCAAAATATTATCTATGTTTCTATATTAGTTGTTTTTATAAACAAAAGTTTTTGTTACAAATAAATATCATTTTCAACTTTCAATACAAGATTACTATAATTTATTTTTCTATCGGTTGAAATATGGTTAACAATATATGTAACTGTGTTTTTATATAAAAAATCTAAAAAATTAATTATTTTTTAATCCGCATGAATAAAACTAAAATGTTACTTAATATGAAAGAGAGAGAATAATAAATAGTAATGTTGCTAACACAGAAAAACAACATCATCGTTACATAACAAATAATTAAGAACTTAGCAAAAATAGTTGTAAAGTATAACATTTCTATATTCATCTTAGAGTAAAAATATTTTAAATAATCTATTTAAATGGCCTCATAATTATTTTGTATAGATAAAGTAATTAAGTGACTCAATGTTTTAAATTGCTATATCAAACGTAGATAAATGCATTACTATACAAATATAAAACAATTACACAATAAATAGAACTATAAGTTTGAGATAAATATTGAGAAAGAATAATTATACTTAGAAGTGATAACCCCCAAAATTGAGGAGACAATGTTGATAACTTGTAAACTTCTATCTATGTAAAGCCTTATTATTATTTTTTAATTATTTGTTATTTGTTCCAGTTAAACCACATTGATTTAAAACAAAAGTATATAAAATTGTTATGGTAAGAATACTAGTGGTGGCCAATAGTCACGTTAGTTATTTGTGATTTGTCAATCAAATCAGTTTAAATACAACAGTATATAAAAATTTAATAACTTCAATGTTTAACCGTAGCCAATATTGCATATGATACAACTTAGAACTTGATCCTTATGAGAAAATGATGCCCTAAGCGAGAGTTTCTTTTCTTATAAGGCAGGTACGGCACTGATTATCCATGTCATATTTAACCATTAGATATGTAATCAATTCTAATATATCATTTCATCATTTTTTGTGAAATTGAATGTGGTGATTACATATGTTAAAATTAATTCATAAATAATGCGTAAGAGATTGTAAGTCATGAAACTCTAATATTATGTCACCAATCATACTTGAATTAGATTAACTAACTTCAAACTTGCACTCCATTTCAATAACCTACTAGAAGTGTTTCGTAATCTTCATGCACACTTTAAACCTAATTCAAACGTGAAAACGATGTCAGTAATCACTAAGCATAGATTAATATGTGATTGAGCAAGTAATTAGTGGGAAAAACTTTGATTGGACTCCGAGTATAGTTGAAAGTGTTGTCGCATGGGATGGGAACATAAGGGAACGCAAATCGAAAGAAGTCTATAGGCAGTTAATCCACCGTCACGGCTTATAAAATTAGTCGGCTAATGTATGATTAAATTGATTAATAGGTTTAGCAGTGTCTCCCATTTAAAAAGTCTAATTAGACCAACATGCGTCGTACAAAAGCTGTAATGGGCTCCGTGCACCTCCATCCAATAAATTTGTAATATTATATCCTTCACTTTTACCCTATAGTATTTTCTTGTTATTATAGAAAATTTACACGGGACTAGAAACACTTATCGGTAACTTCGTCATATATTTTGGACTTTGCATAGAGGGGACCGTCTCCATGATAATAGATTACCGTAACATAAAATTATCATTATTACTAACAATTTAAATATGCTAACATTAGAATACTTTTTTCCGAGGGAGAGCGGGATACATGTGTATATTTCCCTAATCAATAAAAATAAATTTTGCAATAGAAAATGGTTTTCACTCCAAATGAAAAAATAGGGTGGGATGATAGGCTAAATATGAATAAAAATCCATTCGAATATAATTTAAAAAGTGAATATGTAAATGCCTACAGAATCAGTAATCACATCACAATATAAATATGCTAACATTAGAATAAGTAATAAATGGCAAATATGAATAAAATAAAACACCAGCAAATATACAACATTTTTGCGTGGAAAGGAAAGGTTCCATAATTCTCGTGGTGCTATAGTTTCCTCTACAAATATATCTAGGCATCTCAGGCCGGTAAATATAACCTTTGATTGATCAGTAACTCTATGATCTGTACTTACGGTGCATGTCAGATCAGTACCCTATAATTAATGCGATTATATTGGCTATGCCACCATCACAAAATGCGCCGAACCTACTCAGATATACGTTCACCTGCAGACAAGACTCGGACATGTGAACAACAAATGTCATCAACCGTAATTTACAACTGGCCAATTCGATTCAAGGATATGGAGACCTAGCACAGAAACCCACACGTCAAAAAATCTCTCTGAATACTTCATGTTACACTTATACCCAATGAAAAGTTTTTTTTTGTTCAAACCCAATGAAAAGATATATACAAACATATTTCATATAAACAATCATATTAAAGAGTATTCTGATCAAGTTCTTTTTTTTTTTTTTTGAATGAATGTAAAATTTAATCAATCAAAACAGTTTTACATCAGATGCTTCTGTTTATATTTATTACAAAGCTCAAACATTTTGAATCAAGTCCTTCTCTTCATGTTCTTGTCGCTAGCCATTTGAGTAGGCTTTCTTCTAGGTATCTGATCAAATTCTTCACTCTAAACATTTCAAAGTTTTCAAATACTCTTTCTACTTATACTAGCAGCTTCTTACATTTGAGTGGCTCCTAAATTTATAGTTAACCGTGGATCTTTTTTTAATGACAAAGAGGTTTTGGGTCTGTAGGTCCGTACATCTCCATAAGGAGAAACCCAACCATTTTAATTTACTCTCCTTTGGAGAAAAGACTACCAATGGAACTTAGACTTATGATATCAATATAAGAGTTTTATCCACTATGTCAACTCCTTGTTGGTTGGTTTCAGAAAAAAAAAAAAAAACTTCTCAGTTGGTAACTGTGCATCATTTTCATTATGGTTCAAAGTTTAACCCGTAACTGTATGTTTCTTTTTTTTCTTCCGACCAGTCACTTAGTCTTAGACTCTTAGTTCTGACTTACAAATATTGGAGTATCCTCGTAAGATAACTTGCCGGTTTTTAAAACGTTCTTGATCGTCTTCTT